GAGTAGAGCTATAGCGAGTAGAGCTATAGCGAGTAGAGCTATAGCGAGTAGAGCTATAGCGAGTAGAGCTATAGCGAGTAGAGCTATAGCGAGTAGAGCTATAGCGAGTAGAGCTATAGCGAGTAGAGCTGTAGCGAGTAGAGCGATAGCGAGTAGGGCTATAGCGAGTAGAGCTGTAGCGAGTAGCTATAGCGAGTAGAGCTGTAGCGAGAAGAACTATAGCGAGTAGAGCTGTAGCGAGTAGAGCTGTAGAGAGTAGAGCTGTAAAGAGTAGAGCTATAGCGAGTAGAGCTGTAGCGAGCCTAGCTACCTATAGCTCTATAGAAAACGGTAGCAAGTGACTTCCAGCCAATAGTCGAATGCAGCAAACAGCAAACAGCTTAGCGAATTGCTCTCGCCAAAGCGTAACATAACGAGACGCATCCATTTTGCACAAATGTTGAGCTAACCACTTTCCTTCCCGCTTGCATTTCCGCTTTGGCATATTTAGGTTTTTTGTTTTTGCTAGTGAGTTGGTTGTTTTTTGTTTTTTGTTTTTTTTTTTTCGTGTGTGAGTGTGTATATTTTTTTTCCATTTACCTGACGACAGCTCGACGGGTCGCATGCATCAACGCGCGCCACAGCGACACGTTGACAGCAAAGAAGACGTAAGGGCAAAGGTAAAGAGTGGAAAATTTGCATTGCATGCGGCGACAGGCGGCAGGTTGGGCGCACGTTGAGCGTTTCACTAATTGCATTGCACATAACATTGCAAATGGTTTTATAATCTTTGCTTCCGTTAACAATTCATATGCCAGCAACAACGACAACAACAACTAGAAGGTTTCCTTACGTCCTCTGGCCAACAGCTATTTTCTCACACACACACAAAATCTCATTAGAGACGGCCGATGATTACCAGCACACACACACACACACACGCACACACACACTTTGCGGCACTCGGTGTAAGGCACAAGTTGCAAAGTTGATGGCTGCACTCACTCAACGTCGTCGCCCTGACACTGCCTGACACGCCCCCGCCACCCACACAGATTTGACCCAAACGCCCAACATTTTGCACTTGCCATTGCCATTGCGTGTGCGTGTGTGCGTGTGTGTGTGTGTGTGTGTGTGTGTGTGTGAGCTTGGCAGAATTCTAAACATTTATGAACTGTTGCGAATTACACAAGTTTGCTGGCAACTATTTTGATGGGCCATTGCTTAAATGACTGTTCGAAAATTGCAGTGGAAATTGAAATTGAAAGCGACATATTTTAGATTGAAACAAAAAGCGTAAAATTAAAATTAAATTAGATTTAAATTACCTATTGAATTAGCAAGCAAATTAAGCTTAAGGATTGAGCGGGAAAAAATTTAATTGAAATTGAAATTGAAGTTGAAAGAGGCTTACAATGGTATGCTATAGTTGGGGTAGATATTGAAATAAACTTGGAAAAGATATACAAATCTATATAATGGAAAGCTATACAAGGCTAGGAAAAGCAAAGAAAAACAAAAGAAAAAGTACAAGTATTGAAATGGGATTGACATTGAAAGTGTTTGCGGTTGAAAAGAAAAACAGAGACAAATGGAAGCAAAACCAAAGTTCAAATTGAACTGGAAAGTGTGCAACTGAAACTTAATTTCAATATACATATACTATATACATCAATTGCAAATGCAAACTAACTGATTGACATTGAAGAATTTCAATTGAAAGTCAGCAAATGTAAGGTAATGCAATTATTTAATTGCAGCAATTAACCCTAACAAATTGAATTGTTTCATACAAAGCAATGAAAGGGCAAACAATTTGCAATATCAATTTGATTTGCATTCAATAATCAAGCACAATGCAATCAAATCGATTATTTTGTTGCCTTCATGGGATGCCGGACGAGTGCGATTCATGGAGTGAGATGCCAATATATGTAGTATATACACATACATACACACATATTTATGCATATACATATATAGCAAATTCTATTTGAAAATTCTTTGAAAAAATTGAAAAAGGGAACTCCATTTAGCTTATCCATAGCAAATTCGTTGAACAGCAAAAATTGATTTTCTATGAAAATAGAACAAGGGACTGCGGCTGCAGGCGGTGTTTCAGCCTCGAGGAGGTCACCAGCTAAATGTCATAACAAAAGCTATTTATAAGTGAGCCGCACGGTTGCACATAAACGGCCGAGCGTCACCTGTCCAAATGCTTCATCGCAGCACTCCCCCTCCCCCTCCCACCCTCGGCTAATGCCCAGCGTGCTGAGATTGCAAGTCCGAGTACTGTGAAAGGCACGCAAGTCAACGGACATTAAAAAGTAATAAGCATAATTGTGAAATGTCACCATGATGGGAAGGGAGGGGTAGGAAGAGAAACAGAAAGAGAAAACGAACAAAACAGCCATGAGCCAACTGAACAGACAGTATGAACACCAGCAAGAGAGAAAGAGACAGAGAGAGAGAGAGAGCAGGCGAATTGAATGTAAAAGCGTGTGACGTATACGGCACGTTGGCCCAACTTTGACCCAGAGCAGCTAAATTGTTTGGTCGACAGCTGGCGCAAAAGTCGGGCGCTTGCTTTTAATTATTCAACGATCTCGTAAGGGCCCAGAGCCGAAGACGCCAACAGCGTGCAGCAGAGAAAACATCAAGCAAACAACAACAACAACAAAATGCAAAGGAACGTACAAGAAGCAAACGCACAAACAACGGCAGCAAACTGCAGCAGCAGCAGCAGCAGAAGCAGCAGCAGAAGCAGCAGCAGCAGCAGCAGCAGAAGCAGCAGCAGCAGCAGCCGACCAAATGTCGCCTGAATCGGGCCGCTCACGCCGCGCTGCGTTTGCCCTGTGCCAATTGTTCGTCCAGCAGAAGGAGAAGCAAAAGCGCATGAAACAGAACGAAAGCAAAAAAAAAACAACAAAAAAAAAGTGCAGGAATTGAAAGAAAAAGTAACAAAAACAACCATGCAAAAGGCTTGAATGGCAAAGCGAAAAATAAAAAAAGTTTGCGGTACTTTTGCCGCCGCCGGCGTCGGCATCGACGTCGGCGTCTGTGGCTGCCAAAGTCCGTTCAGTCGTCCGGAAGTTGCTTACAACTTCGAACCATGTTTCAAGTGGGCAGCCGCAGCCGCAGCCGCAGTCACTGCTGCTATAACTGTAACTGTAACTAAAACTGCACTCAGCTATGCACCTAACGGTGAAAGTGGCAAGACTGGCGACGCATGGACTATTCAGCTGAGCTCGACCAGCGCGATGGGTGCACGGGGCGGGGGGGAAAAGTGTGTAAGGTCGAGGCCCAAACACTGCGCCTACGTCATGAGGCCAAGCAACGCGAACACGAGCACAAGAAGCTCAACTCAAACATGCGCCAAGTTCTATGCTAAAAGCTTTCAGAGTCCGAGCAAAAAGCTCATTGCAACGAACCTGCGACAGGCTTGCAACATGTTTGTTGTCGCTCTGCAACTCGAACCTAACTTGATCCGTTCGAGCCATGAATTGAGAGCCTAGAGGCGGTAGAGTACAGCAAGTAGAGTCCGTGGAGTGAGTGAAGAACCAAAGCGAGCTCAGTCTAGAGATGGCAAAGTCTAGAGCGGATAGAAACACTAGAGAAAGAAGTTTAAACTGGATAATGCTCATAGTTGGTGTACAAAGAGTAAAGTCTAAAGCTATGAGCTTAAAATGAATAAAGTCTATAGTAAAATTTAGAGAATAGATAAAACCTAGACCGAGTAGAGGCCAAACCGAGTAGGAGTCTAGACCTGGGTGGAGTAGAGTCTTTCCCGAATGTACGACCTTGATCGCGTGATTAAATTTTTATATTTGGAATCACTATAAAATCTAAATATCTATCGTATTCCAGATTGTTGACAATAAATTACAAATTTCAAGTTACTTCAGACTTACGATATAATTTATTAGTATTTGGAAATGTGCAGGAAACGCATACATATGAGTGTTATTAAACGTTTCGTTACCAGAATTTAGATGACCTCCAATGGATGGCGGGGCAGTAGCGCCATAGAATATTTTCCACAGAACCATCTATGCATTGAGAGAATGGGATGGTTGACGCTCAAAACGCTACATCTGTCGCACATGTACATGAAAAACTAATGTTACGACTGGCCAAGCGCTTCGACTGGGCGTGCAGCATAGTGTGTGGAGATAGGAACCAGATATGCATCCATGGCTTAGATATGCAGAGTTATCCGTAATTTCAGTTAGCGAGAAAGTAACAACTCAGCAATGAGATTGATAAGCCGTAACTTCCGAGGCTCTTGCACACCGTGCAAGATACTGGGCTACAGCAATACCCGAGATGCTGGAAGAAATCAATTTCATATCAGTATATCTATATATATATAATACGTATATAAATCAAGTACATACCTGGTATAGCTAATCGCTGATAAGTTGTGGAATGCTCGAATTGAAGCCAAATCGATCCGATTGGATGCTCGACAAGCTGCGCACATCTCACCTGTAGCTTAGCATATTGAAACTGTAGAAGATATCAATTATATACATATATGTATGTATGTTCTATCTGTAGACGATGTTCGCTTACCAGGGTCGGTCGAGCTCAAATCGCAACAACTGCAGCATTTTGAGAGTTAAGCAAACTATTCTCTCAATGCACAGAGAGATCTATGGTTTTTATTCATTGGAAATTCCAATTACAGAGAATTTTGACTTCTGATTCGAAATTATTATTATTATTATTATTATTATTATTATTGATTGTAGAAGATTTTCAATTACAACATTAATTTTGACATTTGGTTTTCTCTAAATGTTTTGCAAGTCCGTGATAATATTCTAGTTTTGTTGGGGTATGGAGTTCACTCGTAGAGCTACTTTTAATATTCCGTTTAGTACCATTTCATTTTAATTATTTATTGCTATTTATTATTTATTCAATGACCAATTCGCAAAATCCAAAAATCTGACGTTCCTTATAAATGCACTTGTATATACCATAATATTTTTCATTTTTACGTTATTTTTTCTTTTGAGTTTTTTTTTTAATTTTTATAATTTTTGTTTGTTAAACTTGAAATTTCGCATTCATATTTAATTATTTCCACTTGGAATTTTCATTCTGTTTATATATACCATTTTTTTGTTTTTTTTTTTCTTTTTTAATTCAGATTATTTTATATTAAACTTCGTTTCGATTTAAATTCACATTTGACATTTCCAGCCATTTTCCTTCACTTTTTTTTTGCAACTTTCACATTGTTTGACGTCCGCTTTTTTTTTTTGTGTTTTATATTCGGGAGTTTTTATGTTGAATCTGTTTTCTGGGGATTTAATTTTCAAATACGCGACCAATAACATTCCGAAACTATCTGGGCAACTTTACTCTACTTTAATACAATTACTACTAAAAAAATTAAATTAATTTAATTAAATTTTGTTTCAACAATTGGCCAAAGCTCTTTCACTTACTTAGATCGACTTGAACACTTCCACTTAACTTCTGATTTCACTTGAAATTTTGCAGAACAGTAATATAGATTTCATTTTTAATTCTTGACAATAACAAAATAACACTTTTAACACGATAAAATTTTGATTTTTTTTATGCTACAAGGGCTGGCTGGGGTGCCTTAATTTTTTATCGAATTTTAAGCCGAGGCATACTTGATTAGTAAAACTGTCTGTGCCTGTAAAATTTGAAAAAATTATATATTATAATTTAATTTTTTTTTATGAGTTCTAGTCGGAGAGCTGGCACTAACTAAATAATTCAGAAGCCGGCTGAGGGTGCCTTTATTTTTTACCGAATACCAAAGCCTACTTTGATGAAAAGAAAAAAAAAATTTGAAAATTATAAAAAAAAAAATTTCCGTGTATTTTTCCCGATGTGCTCTAGTCGGAGAGCAGGCACAAACTAAATAATTCAAATGCTAGCTGGAGGTGCCTTGAACTTCTTACCGAAATTTAAGCCAAAGCCTACTTTGATCAAAAAAAATAAAAATTTAAGATGCTTGTAAAATTTGGATTATAAAAAAAAAATAATAAAAAAAATTCTCCGTATATTTTACCCGATGTGCTCTGATCGGAGAGCAGGCACAAACTAAATAATTCACAGGCTGGCTGGAGGTGCCTTACCTTTTTACCGAATTTCGGGCCGAAGACTACTTTGATCAAAGAAAAAAAATGGGATACTTGTAAAATTTGGAAAATAATAAAAAAAAAAAAATTACAAAAAATTCTCCGTATATTTTTCCCGATGTGCTCTGGTCGGAGAGCAGGCACAAACTAAATAATTCAGAGGCGGAGGTGCCTTACCTTTTTACCAAATTTTAGGCCGAAGCCTACTTTGATCAAAAAAAAAAAAAAATTATACTTGTAAAATTTGGAAAATTATAAAAAAATTACAAAAAATTCTCCGTGTATTTTTCCCGATGTGCTCTAGTCGGAGAGCAGGCACAAACTGAGGCTGACTGGAGGTGCCTTAACTTTTCGGGCGAATTCCGCGTCAATGCCTACTTTGATCAGAAAATTCTTGATGCCTGTTGCCAGAACATTCCAGATGGCCTTCAAGGCCTACTTTGAGCAGTAAAATTATCGATGTGTTTGAAATGAAGTGTTGCCAGACATTCAAACTGCGTGAAAGCCTACTTTGACACGTAATAGGTGTTGCCAGACCTCCACATTGTATGTGAAGGCCTACTTTGACTAGCGTAAATGCATATTCCCGTTGTCAGACTTCAAAAAGTGTTCATGGCCTACTTTGTCTGACAGCTCGTATTTCGCAAATATACAATTATAGAGGCATATAAGAAATCCCTTGTGGCGTTTAGTCGTGGACAACGGATGTAAGTTACTTCTCCGAAGGGGATACCTATTTATATTTATTGTAGTTCTCACAGTTGGCTTGCGATAACGCTCTATTCGATCTCTCTCTCTCTCTCCTCTCTGTCCTCCTCTCTGTCGCTTTCCCAGCTTCCTCACTGACAAGCCTCAAGATCTCTGCATCAATCGAATCTCATGTTACATCTATAATTTATTGAGCTCTCTCTCGTTCTCTCCCTCTCTCTCTCTTTTTCGACAGTTGCACTCGAGGAGGACTGCGTGGACTTTCAGGGCAACAAGGTGAACCACGGCATGCTGTATGTGCCCGGGCCAGGCGTTTGCAGTCTATGCGTGTGCTATCATTCCGAGCCGCTGTGGTGCAAGGCCATCTACTGTGATCCGCCCTACGTAAGCCTTAGATCTTAGATCAGTTCCATATTAATGCAGCTCTAATGCCATTTCCATTCACTTTACCCTGCGACAGTTCTGTAAAAACTTCAGAGTGGGCGAACGCTGTTGCGAATTCGAATGTCTGGATCCGCCGGGCGAGGACAAGCTTTATCAGGTAAGTCAGGCGGAGGGGAAGTAATTCTCTGAACGAGGACCCAACTGAGCAAAGTAGTATAAGAGATGTATTGACTTATGGTATATGATAAATTGTAGGATCTCAGAAATAGATAGATAGATATATACTACTATCTGTAGTCTCACTATTGATATAATGTATCAACTATGTAGATATACTATAGATATCCATACTATGCAACAGAAGATACTCTTATTATTGAATATTGTATCTTCAGATCCTCAGTACATGCACTATAGATATATAGATAGATACACATCACACGTTAGATATCACAGAGACTATAAGCCTATTGATTCTTATTCTATATATATACTATACTATATTATTTCTTATTCTTCTTCGAATTGCAGGAACGTATGCGTAAACGTGCCGAAATTCTGGCCGGTAATAGTACCGCATGTCAGCTACAGGTCGCCCCGTTGGCCGTATCGACCATAATGCTCGGCTATCTGGGCAACAGCTTTCTCAGCTTATAACTTGAGCAGAAATCGTCTGAGTATTTAGCTATAAGTCAGCCAGTCGAAAAGATCTTAAGATATATAGCGGGCAGGTACAATTTTGTTAACTATAAAACGATCCTAACCAAATCCTAAAAGCTAAATGAACAGAAAACCCAAAAATGAATTAATTATTACAATGTAATAAATGAAGATATATATATATATATACATATATATAGAGAGTAAATCGAGATATATATATAAATGAAGAATATAATCTGGAGTAATACAGAATAAAACCGTAGGTTCTCAACTTATATGTATGCCCCTAGTCTTATGTAGGTACAATAATACAAATAATAACAGCATATAACACAGGATATATATAGTATATATATATATACAGCATATGACTTGTAAATACGCTGCCTGGAGCTCTATACACCAGAAATCGGATCAAAAACTTGTTGATTAGTGTTTAGCTAAATGAATCAAAGATGATAATTAGATCTTAAATGAAGATATATTATATATATACATAGATATATATATACATATAAATGTGCCCCTTTTTAATATTAAATGAAAGACAAGAACTAAATAAATAAATTATCGCAATGACTCCTCGTAATACTCATTATAAAACGCGCCCCAGTTCAAACACCTAGTGGAATTTTCAACACTATCTAGTCTTTTCTTTTCGAGCATAGATCTTAAGATACTTTCGAATGCAATTTTAGGAACGTTAGTAATCTACACATATCATGAGAGACACATACACACTCACACCCACACACGTCTAGTAATTATATATACTACATACATATATACCTAAAAATCGTATATATTTTGCATTGGTGCTAATATTATTTTATTGTAGGCTAAACACGATCCACACCAGCACACCCCACATGGACAAACACACACACTCCTTCAAGAGATATACCCAAACAATATCCACAATTTATCCACAGTCATGATCCACATCTAATTAATGTACGATCCGTTGGCATTGCATAGACGATACATATATGATCCACATCTGGCTTACATATGACTCGAATGCGATCCACATTTTATACTCATAAGGTATATATGCGATCCACGTGTGATCATATCCAATACAAAATTCAGGATCCACTCGCTTAAGATCCACAAACTCAAGATTCGCGAACTCAAGATACACATACTTACGATCCACATACTACAAATCCGCAAACTCAAGATACACATACTCACGATCCACATACTACAAATCCGCAAGCTCAAATTCCACAAGCTCAAAATCCACAAACTCAAGATCTACAAACTCCAAATCCGAATATCACTATACTCAAAGTCAAAATCTACACTTTCAAGATCCACAAACTCAAAATCCACACGCTCAAGATTAACAAACATTATGTCCGCAACTTGAAGATCCACAAGCTTAAGATCCACAAACTCAAAATACACACTCCAGGCCACACACTCAAGATCCAAACACGTAAACTCTTCTCCCAAGCACACTCGCTAAAATTTGATTCCAAATCAACAGCCATATCAATGGCCTAACAAGCATCCAAAAGAAAACTCTTATGTGGTATACATAGAGGTACATACATATATAAACAATAATACAGACCCAAAGCTAAACTTTTATTTACAGTAAAAAAAACCTTTAAGAAATAAATCAAAAGTATTTGAAAGACAAAAAAAAAACCCAAAAACTATATAAATTTCCGTTTCATTTTTCTGTAGATCCTAAGTACTTTTAAAACGCTCTGTAAAAAAAAAAAAAAAAAAAAAAAAAAAAAAAAAAAAAACCCCT